TCAAGCAATAAAACTGCCAGTACAGGAGTAACTCTCGCGAAGCAAGGTGTGGGTTTTGTATGTGCGTGTGTGAAAGTCATTCAGGGCAAAATAAGGGCAGTGAGCAGGCTAGACAAATGTCATGTTGCTCCTCCTAATGGGCTCTCTTGCCATTCAGAATCCCTCTTCTGGCGGTGATCTCTGACAGAAATGCAGTAAATCGAGATGATTCTCTCTCTCTCTGACCAGTTTTAATTTGAAGCCCAAACAGGTGAGGCGCTGCAGAGAAACGAAGGGGACTCCTAATTCCCTTCGCATACGGTTTCTGGAAATAGCCGCGGACTATTTAGCAGGGCTAGTTAACTACATGCGGTTAAATATGCAGATGTGGAAGGTATTTCAGTTACTTAATTGCAAACAGAACATCTTAGGAAAATATCAATTTTAACATGAGAACATTTATTCAACCATGTTTTGAGTGTAAACTAATCTTCTTTAAATGTGTACTTCACCTTCCTAGGGTTCTAGAGACATTTTGACAATAACCCGTGAGCTTGAGTTTCTCTTAAGCCACTACACCGAATATGATCACACCAAAAGCAGGATGGCAAATTAAAGTCTCAGCAAAAGCCAATTGTGCTCTCTAGATGTCAACTGTTTGGGAGTGATGCCGAAAGAAAAAGGAATACATTTGCTGTTTCATTACAAATTTGAGTTTGCTTAACTCTTAACTATTGTGTGACATTCAGATGGCCATCCGTCTATGAGCATAATTCATTTGGAATAAAACAAAGAAATGTGTAAAATGTGACTTTTTGCAAGTTTCTGCAAAATGTGAGAACTACAGTGAAAGATTTGAGGGGTTTTTATTGTTTTGTTTTGTTTTTGTTTTTTTATTTTTGTATTTTTAGACATTTTTCCCAAAGGGACCAACATATATATCTTTGTTTGAATATAATAATGAGCAAGCTGAAATACAGCAGAAAAAAATTGTTTATCAAAAAACCTAACATTGTTAAACGTTCGTGAGTTAGATTTTCCCTTTAAGTCTTTCACCTGTTTGTGCATTAAAGTAAAAAATAAAGGAGACCGGGCAGAGATAGTTAAACACCAAATGCACAGATGCAACACAATGAAGACATGAGAGCACACACACACACACACACACACACACACACACACACACACACACACACACACACACATCCATTTTTTTCTAGCAGAGCTTACACCCACAGTAGATTAGTTGCCTGCAGAGACGTGTTGTGATCCAGTTTCCTCTGATAAAGTTTTCTCTTGTGTGTTGCTCACAGAATCTTTCAATTTATACTTTAGTCGACAATGGATGTACAAAGAAAATTAAAGCAGTGCAGTCCTTAATTAGACAGAGGTGAGTCAAGATAATTAACCACACACGTTTCATACTCTTGCTGTATTTTCTTGTGGTAAATTTTACTATCTTTGTTTTATTTCCTAAACCTTATTTTGTATTTCCTGTTTTCTTCAGCTTTCATTGAATTTAATATATATTAAATGTATAATACTTGGTTTTTTTTTAGCTTTAAAGTCACTGTCTAATGTGTTATTCTTCATATATCATAATAGTAAGATGGTATTAAAACACTACCTTTTTGAATTATGCAGATGGCTCTTTCAGTAATGTGTTAGATCATAAAGGTTAATGGATTTAAATTTTGTTGTAGAAAAAAAATATGACAGCTGAAAATGTAAATCTTTTGCTAGCCAACTGTGCTTTATGACTGTGTCAGATATTTAATTAAAGGAAGTTCAACGCTGCTTCAAGTGACTGTGAACTCCTAATAGATTTTATTTAAAAACAGCTAACGGTTTCAGATTGGGTGTCTCTTTTGATATTTGTAAAATCAAAATGCACAGGAAAAATAAACAGGAAACAACGTTTCCTCATTCCCTGATTGTATTTATCATTTTTGTATTTTGTTGGGAATCGGGTAAGAAAGTTTATGTGTTTTATCCTGTGCCTTTATACAAGCCTGGTACTTCCAGGATCATATCACACCCCAAGCTGTTCAAACAGAAATTTTATTTTATTTTATTTTATTTTATTTTATTTTACTTTTTTACAAAAGGGAGAAGAAGCCAAAGGAGAGAGTGAAGACATTAGGATGTTGATTGGATTTTGTTCTCAATTCAGCTCCCTGCCAGTGCCAATAACAAAGACAGGATACAATACTAGGGGAGGGGGAGGAGAGCGAGCATGGAGGGTGGAGGTGGCGGATCTCGACTGTAATGGAGTCGAGACCCCTAACAGGCTGTCAGATGCTGGTTATTTGCTGCCGCAGTCACGCCTCACACTCAAGCACCCTGCACACATTTCCAAGAGTCAATCCAACGTTTGGCCCGACAGCTGGCGTGTTTGTGTGTGTCTGAGTGTGACCCAGTAATAAATATTAATTACACAATTGAGTGCAGGCCATGTGCCATTTCGCCGTTCTTTATCAAAGCTCATGAACAGCACTGAGGAGTGTAAGAGAAGGAGTCATAAAATAACACAGCTGAACGTATTTCCACCTTTGACATTGACTTTGGTTGTTGATTGTTTTAGGGGTTTTCCATGGAAACAGGAGTTTATCCTACACCAATTATTATTTATTTTTTTTTCCGCTTTTGGCTCTACCGTCAGGCTAATCAGCGCTGATTATTTCCGAAACGTTGTCGAGAGGATCTATTTCATGCCAGGAGATGCTGGCGGATGAATACGCCGTTATGGCATAACAGAGAAAGAATTGGACTGGGGGGGTGTTCAGGGGGAGGGTGTAGCAGTGGCCTGCTGAGTCATCTATGCCAGGCTAATCTGATAAAGCAGCCCCCTCGGCCCCACAGAGTAATGGTTAATCATTGGAAGTCTGGTGTTAGGGTAAGTGTGTAGGCCTGGCGTGGTTGTGGACAGTTGCGTTGGGTTTTGGGGTGCCTTAGCGTGACAGGTCAGTCAGGCGGATGAGGCGGGTGTTTTTGTAGTTGTGACTGTGAAGAAAGCCCAGAAAAAGCAGCTCCCGGCTTTGCTGACTGGGAGAAGAGCTGGGGCTGCTCTCCCACAGCAAACAGCAGAGAAACGAACGACTTGTTCGTTTTTTAATCTTTGCTGTGTTGGGGTTTGTTCTACTTGCCATCTGTTTGTTCGCTTGACATCCTGGCTAAATATTAAATTGTTACATTTGATCTTTTTTTTTTTTTTCTGGACTTCCAACTCTTATTTTTTAGATCATTTCAAGCCAGAAGACTTTTTTTTTCTCTCCAGAGGGGCCAATTTGAATAAATTACAGCTAATGAAGGGTCAAACACCCAAATGAAATCAGGTCCAGTGTATTTTATGGGCGTCTGTCGTACATAAAATTATATCACCCATCATATCTATTAAATACAGTCAGAGGAGATCCTGCTTTGTTCCACCTTGTTGGCAACCTATTTGTTGATGGTTGACTCCTTTCTGAGAAATACTGTCTTAGCAGTTTTGTTGGAAGACATCTTCTGGGCTTTTTTCCCTCCTTTGCAGCTACAACAAGTTGGTAACATAGGCAGTATGTTTGGTCAAGACACAATAGCATTCTCTTGACTTGTCGAACATAATTATCTCTGAACTCACTCTGATATATTTTGTGTCAGTTTTTAGTTTTAAAAAAAATTAACTTTTTATGTGTGTGTGTGTTTTTTCCTTTTTTTTTTCCTCTTTCCTAAACATTTTATTTGGGGGTTAGTTTTGTTCATGCCCCAACAATTTAAAGATAGATTGTGTTGAAGAATGGATCAAAATCACCCCGAAGTGAATAGCTCCTGCATTCTGGAGAAGTCTTCACGTTATCATTATAAAAATAGTTTCTACAAGGCACTAAGTACACTTTAGTAAGTATTTAATAGTTTTTCCACTTTATGAAATTTGTAGATTCTTTTGCACTTAATAGTATGTTAGAATATCTGGTGTGAACTTATTGTCAATAGTATCATTAGTAATGTATTTACTGAGAAAAATGACACGTGTAGTACGTATTTTCTCAGCTGCATGGGTAAAATATAGATTTTTTTAAATTTTGGTTTAATGTTATTTGCATTTAAGGACATAAATGCCCAGTTGAGGGTTAGTGTATGTCTCCAATTTGTGCTTTTGTCTCCCTAAGGACTGTACAGTGAACACCTGTATCACTACAGTTTCCACACACTGAAATCACAGGATAAACGTTGTAGTATATGAAGAAACTGATGTCAAAGGGCTCATGTTCTGAGAACGGTGGGGTTTGTTACATATAAAATGGTTTGACTAATTTATTTTTTTGTATCTTCTTTAATTGATGGAATCACTAATGCATGCACTATATCCATTTCAACAACACAGTTATACGTTGGAGTTTTACTGTGTGCAGCGGCTGCACCACTCTCTGGCTCTTCAGTGTAGTTCCAAACATGTTGGGAACAGGATAATTGGTTCCTCACCTGCACCAGATGCAGCTGCTGGGTATCACAGTTTCACAAATGAACAATTTGACTGTCTGTCTGAAACTACAGTTTCTACATCTACCTGTTGTTTATGAAGAAGTTGTGCAGACATGCAGAACGCGCTGCGATTTCAAACGTGCTCGGCTGGCACGCAGGTTGCTAAGGATGGAGAACTCTGATGCCGAAGGCCTCATTTCCCTCAGATTTTCGAAGCACTACAACTTTCCCAGTCTGAGCTATCTAAGTAGCTGTGAAAAAATTCTGAGACCTCATTTTCAGTTCGGTGTAAGACTGTGGTTCTCTTGTACGGTAAAATGCCAACTTCAAAATTCTTCGATATCCGCACTTTTTATTTTCGTGCCTCATTTCGTCAAATAATCAAGTAAAGCTAGAATACATTACAGCTTTACTTGTAATGTATTCTAGAAGCAACTTTATTTCCCATTGCTCCGATCTGGAGCGATGCTAACATAATGTTTACCAGTTTCAGCTGTCTTTACTCCGTGCACAGGAAGCAGTTCTGCTGTTTTAACCGACTAAATGTTTTGTCTTTCCTCATGCAGGCACAGAAATCGTGGATAGAAAGGGCATTCAGCAAGAGAGAATGTGTTCATATCATAGTGAGCGCCAAAGACCCCCATAGGTGAGTGGAAATGTTTTGAAGATTAAAAAAATGGGATTTTTCTTCAGCTGTTAAGTACGCTGTAATTATCAATAACTCTTAACTTATTTGCTAAACTCAAACTACAAAAACTCAGTTTGGTTAAATCTTTGTTGAAGATTAAAATTGTGATCAATATCAATCGCTATTCTTGAAGGACAGCTCAACATTATGCAGCTTTAGCACTTCTGAGCATTTTTTTTATTGCGAAGGATGTTGTTTAAAATTCAGCTTTGCTTGTAATGTAGACGTTTTACATTTTACTTGGTCCAACAAATGTCTAAAATAAAAAAACAACTTTTGAATTCACTTTGCATGATTGTGAGACTGCAGAAAGCAACACAGTTAGATCAGCACTTCAAGAGGATGTATCTTTATTTTTGCAAAAACAAACTCTGATGGTTTAGCTGATTTCATTTAAGCACCATACAAACTCAAACATATGCAAGAAAAAAAACTCCCGGCTTCTTGATAAAACAACATTAGCATAGCTACACAAAATCGAGTGGATGCCGAGAGCAGGAGGAAGCTGGAGAAGCTGGAAAACATGTTTCTCATTACAAAATCAACTTTTTATTTTTTTTTTTGTCAAAAGCATTTATAGTTCATTTACACTTTTGGCAGAGGGCGGAAAAGAAGCTTTTGTGAGAGATGATGGAGAAATGAATTGAAAATCAAAGCCTCCTGACTCTTCCTCCAAGGACTCTCTTTCTACTTTAAACACAAAATCTTGAAAGCTGCATTTAGCAGCTTCTGAATAAGTATTTGCTCATTTAGGAATAGCACAATTCATGACTGTCATTCTGCCAAGTCTCAGGTTCCTGAAATGGAGAAGGAGACCAGAGAGACAGGAAAGCAGACGGGTGTTTTAAGAACAGGAAGCAAGAAAAAAAAAGGGTGGGGTGGGGGGTGGGGACAGAGTCGGTGAGATGCTGCACAGGCCTGCAAATCCTTCATCTCTCCTCCATAAGAAGATGAAAGCGAGACGACAAGCTGCCACTTCAGCCTTGCCCACCACTTACACACGCTTATGGAGGCATTTCACACTCTTCTTCTCCATCACTTTCTCCCACAGTCTCCCTTCTCATTCTTACAGCTAGAGCCACTTTGCTTAGGGCTCACGAGTCGCAACGTTTCAATTATGTCAGGAAAAGGCTCCGTGTAAGACAGCTGTCTCGACTTGGCTCTGACCTTTTCCTCCCCGTCCAGGTGCTGCTGCGGTCGTCTCATAGGTCAGCATGTGGGTTTGCCGCCAGGTATCTCATCCAGTCAAAATGACAAGGCAGAGCGTTTGGCCAAGAATGACAGCCTGTCAGAGAAGTGGTCAATCAGCAAGCACACACAGCTCAGCCCCACCGATGCCTTCGGCACCATCGAGTTCCAGGGAGGAGGACACTCCAACAAAGCCATGGTGAGTCGCGTCAGTGTTGACCGTTGTGTTTTGTTGGTGTGGCTGGATGGCGTGTAACAAAACCTCCAGTATTAAAATCTCATTATATTGCTCGTCTTAAGAAAGTCTTTCTCAGGCAGCGTGACTTTAACTGGCTATGGAAAGCTGTGGAAAGCACGGTTTTCTGCTCAGGGCATCACACTGCTTGGGGGCTGCACAGAAATAATTGAATAAATAAATAAAACATTTGCCTATTGGTTTATAAAATGGCTTATTTGTATGTGCAGTCAATGACAATGGGTCACCCTGTGCTGTGTACACTGCAAACGCCGTTAGTAAATATTACTACCGCTGGATTCTGTTCAAACTTAAAGAACCACTTTGGTGTTTTGGAGAAACCACAACTACGCTGGACTGTCTCTTGTTTATAATCATTCATATACATATGCAACTGGATTATTCTCCACTAAACAGTAATAAATAAGTAAACTACAGGAAGCCATTCAGCAAGTTTAACCTGATTACGAGCTATGCTAGACTGAGTGCTGGAAACAGACAATAGTCTTTAAAAGTGCCAGCTGTTCTGTATTGTTAGTTGAGGCGGTGATGGAATAAACAGAATATAAAAAGAAAGGAATCTATTTCTATTCTGTATAAAAACAGAATATAAATAGACGCTTAGTTGGCAGCACAGGCAAAGAGAAGAAAATGTTAGAAGTGTGGGTATGTGAAATAAATTTTCTTGGAAAGGAGTCACATAAAGGCTTAGATAAATATAGAAAAACATTGTTCAGATTGTTTTGCCAATTGATATATATATATATATTTTTCGTATTGGTTAAAATGCAAAACAAAACAAATTATGTAAGAACACAAAAGGAGTTCTCACACATAAATTCCTCTGAAACGATGTGGGAATTAGGCACACTGTGTTTGATAAACGTTTAGATTATCCCCCCACATGTTAAATGTTTCAATGTTTAAGTTGTACTTCTGACGATACGTTTGATGGATAAACAGATTCCCCTCGACTCACCTACAGATACTTTTCTTCAATCACAGAAAGTATCTGTTCAAATGTTTTGAAGCTTGAAAGCTTGAATCCGTTTCCTGGACCGTTCTGAAACCTTCCAAGAAATGTTTTAACGTCATGACTTCATCTTTATCTTTGCGATGTCTTTTATATATCATCTCCATAACAATGACGCGTTTTCTGAGTAAAAGCATTTGCACCTCTTGAAACTTTTCAAAACTTGTCATGTTGCAGCTGCAAGCCTTAATGTTGTGCCCAAACAGCCCAAACTCATACAGACTGATTTAGAGAAATCTATGAAGAGCAATTTTGTAGGTCCTGCCACAGCTTCTCAGTTACATTTAGGTCCAAAACTTTGACTAGGTCTTTATAACACATGAATATGGATTGGTTTTAGCAATTTCAAGTCACCGTTGGCTTTAATGTTATGTTCAGTATAATATAACCGTGCTGGATGGTGAACCTCCACCTAGTATCTTTTCTTTTCCAGACTCTGCAGGTTGTATTTAGCTCCATCTACTCTAAACACTTCCTCTCACCCTAAGGAATAATAGCTTGCCCACATCATGATACCACCACCACCGTGTTTCAGAGTGGGAACACTTTGTCTAGGTTGATGCGTGATGTAAATTTTCAATGTCAGCTGGGGTGTCGATGCTCACACAAAGCACTCTGTCTGCTTACGCCATGTTCTTCTTGCTGTGTTTGCAGTATGTGCGAGTGTCTTATGACACTAAGCCTGACCTGCTGCTCCACCTGATGACCAAGGAGTGGCAGCTGGAGCTTCCTAAGCTGCTCATCTCAGTCCATGGAGGCCTACAGAACTTCGAGTTACAGCCTAAGCTCAAGCAGGTCTTTGGCAAAGGGCTCATCAAGGCAGCCATGACGACAGGGGCCTGGATATTTACAGGAGGAGTTAACACAGGTAAAAGAAAACAAAAAAAAACAAAAAAAAAAAACAAAGGAGATAGAAATATAAATATTGAACATTTTTACAGTCAAGTGAAATTCCTTTTTGTGTTCACAACACATCCAGAGTTTAACTCGATAAATGAAATAATGAACTCTTCATATTGAATTTTGCTTGCTCTGTGCAGCCAAATTCTCATTTTACAAATGAAGTGGGCACTTCCAGCAGGAGTATGATGAGTGTGTGGAACTGTTTCACATGAATGATTAGCTATTAAAGAGCTCTTTGTCAAGCCGGTATGGGCTCTCAGGATGATGAACCACTGGATCCCTGTCACAGCGCTCGGTGGGTGGTTGGCAGATTGTGCTCACTCAACTTAAATTACGCACACTTAAAGTAGCACCAGACATATGAAGTGAGGCCAATGACTTATTAGAGGACACTGAATTAAATTAACGTCGGGCAACCTGAAAGGCCTCATTTTTAGCCATTAAAGTCATAAATCCATGCGCTGTGTCATGAAAAACAAACGGCGTGCCATGTGGTTTCAGGGAAACAGATGAAGTAATTGCTAAAAATGATGCAGTCACCGTTTTAACAATGTCCAGTGTACAGCAAGGATAAGTTGCTGAATTCCTCTGGAGAACGAAAACATGTTTCTGTCCTTTCAATTGTGTTGGTGTCTTAGTTTCTAACCAGAAGTTTTATTTCATGTAACTTTAATAAATTAGATTGCAGCTGAAAATGTTTGTCCATTTATGTATCAAAGAAAATCACCTTTTTTCCACTTGAACTTTGAGGCAGTATTGTCATTGCATTTGAGAAATGTTTCGATTCACCCTTACCTCACTTAGTCTCCGACGTAACCCCGGCTTCTGTTCTTTCTTGTGGTTTTAAAGCAGAAGAATGTTTATTTTTAGTACTTACTTAGTTATTTTTAGATTTGTTTTAGTGGAGTCAAAGGAAAAAAAAAACCAGCAGGGGTTGTAATCTTTAATAGCTCAGATGAAAACAGGCAAACAGAAAATAGAACAATATCGAGTGATGGAAGATGCCCACACTTGAATACAAAAAGGAAAAGAAGGTGAGATTTAGTGACAGAATGGGTACAGAAGCAAGAGAGAGGCTTGAATAATGGATGGATGGCTGGATTGGATGGACAGTGGGTGGAGGTAGAGAAAGAATGAATGTCAGCTGGAGAAATGTGATAAGATGGCCTCCAGGTCTGAAAGCTTCTCCCCTGAGGACGACACCTACATGCTTGAAGAAGTGTGTGTGTGTGTGTGTGTGTGCGTGTGTGGTCCTGCGTGGGTGTCAATTCGCATGTTTCCTTGACTCCTAATAGATGCTGTCGAAATATCACAACAGAGTGCATGACTGTGGCATTGAGCCGTTAATTGATTGCGACAAAACATGTCTTTTTTTTTTTCTTTGTCTCTCTCTTGAATCTTTCAATCGCAGGGGTGATCCGCCATGTGGGGGATGCACTGAAAGACCACGCCTCCAAATCAAGGGGCAAAATCTGCACCATTGGAATAGCTCCATGGGGCATCGTAGAAAATCAGGAGGACCTTGTTGGCAAAGATGTGAGTCTCAGCCTGACTTAACATTCAGCAGTAAGGTGCATTCTTTAGCATTTGTGTAGCTAGATGCTCAGACTGCCACACGCCCATCAACATGTTACAAAACCCTTTTTAATATTTTTTGTTGTGATTAGCTCCTATTAGACGCTGTGCCTATCAGACCTTTGCCCCAGGGTTCAGCTCATTAACCAAGCTGCAGAGCTAGGCAGTCCGGTCTCCGTTAAACTCTCCTTCACGGGGAGCCGCAGAGCTGGCAGATCCTAATAAGACCGTGGAGCTCATGCTGACTTGTTGAAATTTTCTGGGATTCGCGGTTTGTGGTTTGGCTAAGATTTCATCAGAATGTGCCACGCTCTGTCCTGCCGAACAAGTCGAGCACAGCCAATTAATGTCAGTGGCTGAAATGGGATGATCGAATGCCGAGGGACTTATTTTCTCACTTGATTAGTCTTAACTGTGCGCCTAATGATGAGATGAGTTTACCTCATATTGTTAGGCACGCTCCAGTTCTCCGTGCTCCAGCTTCTGAGAAGCCAGTTTTCTGTGCTGTTCCTTCTTGCTTTGGTTGCAATACATAAACATGTGGTGTAAAATTATTGATCGTATGAACGAATCAGGCTCTGCTTTGGATTTTTAGCCTCACCAGTGTAAAAAGGAGTCGTGTTTTAGGAGATGATATGAAAACCTAGCAGAAGACACTCCTCTGCAGGATTGGAAGGAGTCACTTGAAGTGGTTCAGGTATCTTGATCAGGTGGCTTCCTGGTTTCTTCCTGTAGGAGATTTTACAAACATATCTGGGGCAGACCCAGAGCTCAGGAGAGGGACTCTGGAATGAGTTGTAGAGTTCAAAGGAGAGGGATGTGATAGCTCTGCAATCTGATCAGGAAAAACAGGCAACGGATGGATCCATCCGGCCAACCACCCGGCCGGCTAGCTTCAGAAATATCTGTCATGAGTTCACAGCAAACATTTGTATTTAATATGTAGCTTTTAAAACTGGAATTTTGAATCAAACAAAAGTACTCAATTTTGGCATTAAAAATGTATAGGAACCCTGACGAATGTCTGTAAGGCTTTGGAGTGCAGAGCTCAAACAATGCTACTGAATGTTAAAGTAAAACTATTTTAGAGAAAAAAAAATATTGGAGATTGTTGTTGTTTTCACTCCTATTTATATTGGTAAATCTCTGTGAGACATGAAGTCTGTTTAGATGTCATATAGGAAGTCAAAAACACTGATTAATAATTAAAAGCATAGCAATGTAACACTCTTTGTGTAGATAATAAATGCCAGTTAACCAAAGAGTTAAATGTGCAACAGTGATCTGCATGAGGTCTTAAGCTCAGGAGGATGAGGAAGAACGGGGTGCGGATGGGGCAGCACAGAAAAAAAAAAAAAAGCAAACGGGTCCAGTTGGTATTTATCAAGAAACGGCAAAAAGAGAGTGTTTGAAGTGTGGATCCTCCCATGCGTCTAAGCCCCAACATGGAGGTTGATGGCCACATCATGTTCTTCTCTCTGCTGCCACTTGCAATACTAATAACATAAAAAAAAAAAGAGTGGACCCATTTGTAGTGCGTCTTTGATCAAAATCCTTCAAAATAACTCTTTTGGATGTGTTGAAAGCGTGTCTCGTTAAACCTTACATGTCGTGCCTCATTACCCACGCCCTGTGGGACATTTTGTCTCGCGAGATTTGTTTGATCGTGAATCCACCACTCGCTCCTCTTAGCTTTAAGTTGGGAACACAGCAAGGATGTTTAGGTGCAATCAAAAAGCAGATACTTAAAGTTTCAAAACACTTGGAAAACACTTGAAGTGATTGCTTGTGTAGATGTCAGAAAGATTCTTACAGGATAAGTCGAGCAAAATTAAAGTGTTCCTTAAAATAAAAAAGATGAGCGTACAATGCGATTTCTTCAACAGAAAATCGTCTTTCGTTTCTTTTTTAAATTTCGGTTGTAGCGTTAACTGGAATCGGTTACTTCATCTTATTTTTTTGACAATAATAAAAAAAAAAAAGTGCATCACCATTCCCAGTTCCTCTTGCTGCAAATGTTTTAACAGCAACTTGCCCGATTTTTCCACATAAACAGACTTCTTTGCCAGGTTAACACTTTTACAATTTTGCGTGTTTATTCTTCTCTCTCACTCTCGCCGTCTTCCCTCTGTGGCAAGGTGGTGCGTCCGTACCAAACCATGTCCAACCCCATGAGCAAGCTGACGGTTCTCAACAGTCTCCACTCCCACTTCATCCTGGCAGACAATGGCACAACAGGAAAGTACGGAGCTGAAGTCAAACTGCGACGCCAGCTGGAGAAACACATCTCCCTGCAGAAGATCAACACACGTGAGTGGCCTTTAACGTGTCTGAAAGGGCTTCCACAGACTATGTGTACGCTCAACTACCGGGACCATGTTTTCAAAATGACTACATCATAATGAAGCTTTAATTCTTAGGTGATGATGGATAATACTTGTCATATAACTGGGTTGTCTTTTTTTTATAGTAACAGTCTAAAATTACCCTCACCCCATTTTCTCCAGAACTCATGCTGTCAGTTTATATTTAGACACTAGAAAGGAAAAAAAATAAAATAAAAAACTTTATTAACCTTTGATACCTTAAGCTCTCCCTGCCATCTGGGGGATTTTTTTTTTACTTTCTGGAAGATCAGATGGATTAAATTTTTAAATAAATACACTCGATAACTACAAGCTTCTATTATAAGTGCCTGCAAGGAAGATATGAAGGCAAAAACAGCAAACACAGATCCTGCTTATGCCCATGCAAATATACAAACTGAAGGCAATACGTACATAACATTAAGCACACATAAATGTGAAAAATTTAAATCTATAAGTGTTAGTTGGAACTTGAATGTGCATATCACTTAGGGCGGAAATAGTTTAAACAGTTTGATTTGATTGAATTTTATTTTATTAGTTTCAATTCAGTTTTGTTTTCAGCTGAAACAAATTAAACATATAGTATGTAAAAGACACACAACCTTTTTTTTTTTTTTTTACATGAAGAGCTGCTGCATCTCCAGTCAGCAGCTTTTGCTGTAAAATTGCCAGATTTATTTTTTTTTTATCTGATAAATCTCCAGTTTAAGGTTAGACAGGCATACCAAATTAGCAGTTTTGTATTTGCTAAATATTAGAATAGCAAGCAAGATATTTCTCTTCAAATTCAAACGTCTATATTCTTTAGTTTATGATACTGTCACCTCTAAACTGTGTGATTTGGGTCAAGCATATTGGGTGTCCCAAAACCTCCTGACAGAACTGGTGTAACTGATTCAGGTTTATGGGCCATCTTGCTCACACTCACCCACTTGTTCAGCTTTGCTAACAAATTTTCTAAGGGACTGAGATGCAGAGTTTGTGATGGCCATCCCAAAACATTGACTTTGTTGTCCTTAAGCCACTTTCTAACTGTTTTGGTGGTATTCTTGGGGTCGTTGTCCATTTGAAAGACCCGTTTGTGCCTAAGTTTTAGTGTCACATCAGCATTTCCACTGAATGTTCTTTTCTGCTGATGCCTTTTGTTTTGTGAAGTACACCAGATGCTCCATCAGTGAAAAAGAACCCACAGTGAAGCAGCAGCTAAGCAGGATTCTTGGCGTGAACCAAACGATAACTAAATAAACACCTTCACAGTCATGTTTTATTTGTTATAGGAGCTTTTCTCTGAACGCTGGCAGCTCATGCCAGTTCCCTTTGGGTGTGGTGAAGAAACGAAAGCACTTTCACTTGACGTCACTGCTTATTTAAGAGCTGCTGAGAGCTCCCCAGAATGTCAAGAAGCAAGTTCAAGTGAAATGCCATTATCAAAATTGTCAGAACCATTTTTTGTTCACTGTCAGAATATTTGCTGATGTTTGGTGATACTGACATTGTAAGGCTATGCTGAATTAAGTGCTATGCTGCGCTTAAGCTCTGAGGACTCAGGAAAATGGTCTGGTTTGAGAAATTTTGCAGATGTACTTTTTGTTTTTGCTTTTTTTTTTCTTCTTCTGCCTATCATGTGGCCTGTGGACTTCCCTTTGTCATCCTATGCCTGGAGTCATGTCAATGGGGCTGGGAAGGCAAAGGGATGCCCAGATGTCATGGAAGCATCAGAGTTTTGCCTCCTGTTTTATCTTCAGCCTTGCGTTAAAATCAATGTAAATAATTGTGGAATTCTACAAAGAAGTAGGACAATAAATCTTGCTGTTTCTTCGTATGTACATGTCACAGAGGAGAATCCCTCTCAACCTTCAAGAGTAACTAAACAGTGTTAAAATATAATGCATGATCAATTTAGGTGATTATCTTCTCTTCAGTTAGAGATGAAGAGGAAGTGTTAACAGTTGATATAGGTCTAGCACTATAGTTTAAGTACTCTTGTTTTCTGATTGTTACTTTTGGAAAAGTAAAAATCTCATGTTTACTACTTACTGCTTAACAAGGATTGTGCAATTGGTGAATTTTTCAGAAAAGTGACAGTGTGTTTTTTTTTTTTTTTTTTTGTCATCGGTGGTGAATATATTATAAAACACACATTCAACAACTAAGTAAAAATCTGATTTATACTTCGTGGCAGTTCGTTACCAGAAAAAACAAAACAAAAAAAACACTCATCTCTTAACACCAAATGAATTATTGTTTATAAAATATAAATTCTTTTAAAATACTGTTTATCTGTTTGATATGGGAAATTTACAGTGGGTAAATTTTGCAAAAGTAAAAATCAGGTGTTTACTTTTAGCAACTGGTTACCAGAAAACGTGATTGTCTCTTAGCAACAGATTAACAACAAATATTGTTATTGTTCAAAAAACATGAGATTTTTTCTGCTCCTTTGAAGTTCTGCTTATCTTACACTACTTGCTCCTTAACAAGAAATGTGCAATTGGTGAATTTTTCAGAAAAGTGACAATGTGTTGTTGTTGTTTTTTTGTCATTGGTGGTGAATATATTATAAAACACACATTCAACACAAAAGATTTGATTTATACTTCGTGGCAGTTTGTGTTACCAGAAAAAACAAACAAAAAAAATACTCATCTCTTAACACTAAATGAATAACAAGTAATATTGTTTATAAAGCATAAGCTCTTTTGAAATACTGCTCATCTACTTAGACACAAGAAATTTACAGCTGATACATTTTGCAAAAGTAAAAATCAGGTGTTTACTTTTAGCAACTGGTTACCAGAAAATGCGATCGTCTCTTAGTAACAGATTAACAACAAATATTGTTATTGTTCAAAAAACATGAGATTTGTTCTGCTCCTTTGAAGTTCTACTTATCTTACACTACTTACTACTTAACAAGAATTGTGCAATTGGTGATTTTTTCAGAAAAGTGAAAATGTTTTTTATTATTTGTCATTGGTGGTGAATATATTATAAAACAGACATTCAACACAAAAGTAAAAATATGATTTACACTTTGTGGCAGTTTGTTACCAGAAAAAAACACTCTTCTCTTAATAACAAATTAGTAACTACTATTATTCTTTATAAAACATAAGCTATTTTGAAATACTGTTTACCTGGTTAGACACCAGAAATTTACAGTTGGTAAATTTTGCAAAAGTGTAAATCAGATGTTTACTTCGTGGCACTTGGTTACCAGAAAACACGCTCGTCTCTTAGCAACAGATTAAGAACAAATATTGTTATTGTTAAAAAACATATTATTTCTTATGCTCTTTTGAAGTAATACTTATCTTACATTGTGCAGTTGGTGAATTTTGCAGAAAAGTGAAATTATTATTATTTTCTTTTTTGTCATTGGTGGTAAATATATTAAAAGATACATACTTTTCTGTAATAAGTGTTCCACCAAGGTGGCGTCTCTGTGGTTGTAACTTGAAGCTCTGCCCTCCTCTGTAGGAACTGAGTGTTCCTCCATCTCTGTAGTTCTCTACATCTCTGCTCTCCTCAGTGTTCTGTCGCTATGGTAACTAATCCTCTCCGAAAACCATGTGTGAGTGAGACACAGACGGGGAGACAAAAATTATATCTCTGTCTTGAGTCTAACTTACCACAAAACTGTCAGAATTGGTTTTGATTTTAATTTGGCTCTTTTTTTCGCTAATTACGTCGCCATGGTTACTCAAAATGCCAACAGAAGTAATAGCTGCATGTTTTGATATATATATTGTAGGGGTGCACGCAGCGGTACAGTGCCTTGCCTTGCAAATGCAGTGCTCTCCTATGCTTTGCTATGGCCGATCCCAATGAGAATTAATGACACAGGTAGATTCATCAGTGATAAGGTGACTTCTGAAGGCAGTTTGATACAGTAAATTTTATTTTAGGTACTATAGTGAAGGGAGATGAATAAATTCACAAACACTTTTCAGGTTTTATTAGTAAAATAAGTAAATAAAAATCAGGTGTAATTAATTAATTCTTTTTCAAAATTAAGATTATACCTACCAGTAATCTTATCAAAATTATGTGGAATGTTGTTTTGGACAAATAAAATCCCACTAAAATACACTGAGGTTTGTGTTTGAATTAATCAGGACAAATATTTAGGATTTGCAATGCAATGTGTATAAGATATCAAGACATGAAAATGCAATTTTGAATTACTTTACATGGAAAAAAACAAACAAACAAAAAACACATACCAATTCAGTATTTCTTCAAGCTTTGGGGGCTAAATTTCAGAAACATTGAGTTTCTGGTTTAAAACCCTCTTATGACCAACCTGTCGGCGCCGACAGG